GAGAGAGAGAGAGAGAGAGACCTGCGGCATGCAGCATGTCAGTGGCAGGGAGCACAAGGGTAGGCGCTGACCTCCAAAAAAAAACTAATTGTATTGGAATACAAGAGTTTTTTCTTTTCGAAATCCGAATAGAAAGGGTACACGTTGTGTTCAAATACAAGGTGTACGTTTTCTACTCGAGGAAATCTGCTATTCGAGAAGAGTGCACCCGCACCGTTTCAATTTTTGAAAAAGGCCTAAGGACCGCAGCCTCTTCGGCCTCCTACGGGCAGCTACCGGTCCTTCGTGTTCCTGCGCCTTGAAAGCCCCAAAGCCTCAAAACGCCCACCCTCCCAACGACCCCCGACATTGAAATTTGATTGACGTTGAAATGTCTCAGGGGGGGAAAATGCAACCCTGACCGGGGGGGAAAACGCAACCCTGACGGGCTGCGAACACCACGGGCTAGGGTCCCGGTGGTTCTCGGGTGCACAACTAGGCATAGGTAGGTGCTAGGGCAGTATTTGAGTTGATAAGACAGGGTAGACCATAGGAAGAACAAGGGCACTCGGTTCCTTTGGGCAACTGTGGGCTGTTACTTGTGTCTGTAGGACCCAAACCTCATCCTCTGCGCCAAGCTAGTCCCAGACATCATTTAGCTGATAGTTATTTAGCTAATAGGATCCGGCGACCTTTCGGGCCTGTCACCGGTAGATAGTGACTTGGCACTACTTTTTTTTCACTCAAATTTATGAAAGTATCCTTTAAACCACCAGTACATCCAGCCATCGGCCGCGGGCCCTTTTCGGAGGCCGCCCACCACCGATTCAATTCATCTACGGCGGCACTGCGCCTCCGAAATTGTTGTAGGCGACGACTTTTCTTTTCAGCAAGGCTGGGGCCGTGTACCGGCGGTTTAGAGTTCAGCTCAATTTCAATTCAAGAAATGGTTGGTATTTAGAATCTTGGAACTCTTTGTGGTTGTGAATTCCTCAGGCAAGTGTCTGTAAGCTACGCTTGCTGATGCTGCCAGTACCCGGCAGTACCCCGGGGGCAAGGTCCCACTTGCACAAATTAGGAGATTTGGGCCATTGGTCTCTGCTATCTAAGGTCAGTATCTCTTAATTCGTGCAAGTGGGACCTAGCCCCGGGTTGACTTGTGAGGTCCCCGGCCTCGGTTGAATTTATAACGAGTTACTTTTAAAGAATGCAAACAACAACAAAACAAAGAATCTTATTGACAGAATTTTTCGCCAAATGGAATGCCTCCACACATTTCGGGCTGACGGACTCAGTTTTTTTTTTTTTTTTTTTTAATTTTAGACTACACTATGTTCTTCTCTCAAATTCGTTTTTCGCCTTCCACTACCTTCCTACCACTACTCCTAAGACTAAATAGAAAAGGCCACCGCTGTCAGATTAGACACAAGATAGAATTTACCTGGGCTGGTTAGTCCGATGATAATACCTCAAGGCCATCGCCCTTTCCAAAAAAAAAAAAAAAAAAAAAAAAAAGAGACTATATAGAAGGGACCCCTGCAAGCATAGGGCCTCGCAAAACGAGGTAATTCATGTTGCCCCCCGCCCCAACAGCGGAAGTCAGAGATGGGGTGGGGCAGCCGGTGGGGGTCCGGCTAACGCAAAGAGAGAGCATTTTGCCAGTAGCTGCGCCTCCCTTTCTCATCGTCCCCCACCCCTCATCGAGTAGCAGCAGAGGCTATGGCCAGCACTCTCCCACACACCACACACAACCCACTCGCGCTCACACTCACACCCGCGTTGGTCATAGACCCCGCAAATACCGATCAGGGATATCCAGAGGACTATCACAGTCCGTTGGCATTAAGTGCGCGGCAGGCGACCATGGCGGACTCGTTTATACCCTCCTGCGCAGCGCGGGTACGAACATATGCAAGGGACGCACATGTACTTGCTTGGGCTTCAATCTGTGATGCGACTACTTGACCGCGGATGCTATCTGCACACCGAGGACACACATATACACGTTTACTACTACGTCTTCCCCCGAACATAACGCACCCTAAAAATGAATGTATACAAGCTATATTTCCGGCCAGATACAGCCAAAATAAGGGTGCGTTGTGTTCGGGGGAAGACTATAGTTTCGAGTATACGAATAAATGCACGTGCTGGTTCCCCTCTTAGACTTTATTGGTACGCCTGATCGGTATTAGCAAAAAAAGGCCACCCCCCGGGACGTCGCAAGATGCTCTGATGATTCAATCTAGGAATGATGTGATCACAAGGTTGTCAGTCTTTCCCCCACCAGGCCTGGAAGATGTCGTGCTCGGAGTAGACCAACATACTGCATGGGGGTTCCATGGGCCTCGCTCCACTAGTCACCAAATGCGCAAATTGAGAATGAATCTTCCGCTCAAACATGGATGGAAAGATACACCGCCATATTTTTGGTCTTTTGTGCATGTGGGCAGTAGGGGAGCTAGGCCCGTGGTGTGGGAAAACGTACCACGAAACGCCCTAAAAGGCACACACACACACACACACACACACCTCGTGAGGAGTCGGTGGAAGTCCGACGAACGAGTAGCACACAGAAGAGAGTAGCACCACACGCACACACACACACAAACGGAGAGTAGCGCACACAAGAAGAGAAAACGGAGGTGCATGCACGGGGGAGTGGGATGCAGATGCGTCAGAATACTTCAACATAGAAAGAAGGAAAATGAAAATATGGGACTCGTTTTCCTGCAAATTAATCACATCACCTTCTTTCTACCACCGATGGACGGCGATTACACTCCTCACGGCACATTCCAGCCCCCCCCCATTCCAGTTCCCGACACCCCCCATCACCCATGGAATTCCCGACTCCCTCCCTCACCACAACCCGTCACTCTTTTGCACTGACAATCCTGAGCCACAGTCTATACATTTAACTCTCGGCCGTCGTCCACCAGCTGAGCTCCTTGCCGAGAATGAATGAAGCCAAAACGGCATGCTCTCGATTTCCTTTGGCTACCGGAATACCCCCACGCAGAACGTCGCATAGATGATAATACCTGGCGTAGAGAGTCGCATACACACCTTCCGAGCTGTACACCACGCTGGGGTCAGACATGATAAGCTCTATCCTCTATCCCTCTTGGGTACACCATCATCTCTTGGTCATTCGTCGCCCCACTTATGACAAACCGCTTTGCATTCCCCCACTCCCCAGTGGTTAGCCGCTCTCCTTTCCTTCCCCACAGCAAGATCCAGGACCCCCAAGTTGCCCAACCACGCGCATCTGCACAAACCACGCGCATCTGCACAAACAACCCCGTATACAGCTTCCGAGCCTCCTCCTTTATCACCCACCTTCAAATCTGCCCCACCACGCGCATCTGCACAAACAACCCCGTAGTTGAGTGTTAGACAGGTCGTGAAAAAATTGCCGAGGCGTTGCCTTCAGTTTAAGTGAGCCTTGAACCAGAACGACGCGCGCACAGCAGAGACAGGGCGGAGGGGGAGGGCAACTGGAGGCCGTGATGGAAACGCGGGAAGGGTAGAAGCGGAGACGCAGAGAGTAATTGCGAATTCAAGGCGCATGCCTTAGCCGCAAATCGGAACGGAAAGAACAGCCCGCTTGCATGATTGCCTGACAAGACCATACCTGCGCACACAGGTTTCTCGGCAAGCCCCTTTCATCCCGGTGGACACTAACACTAACAGCTTCACGGATCCAAACGGACGGTACGTTTCGATTAGTCGTCTCATCCACATCTAACAAACGCGATCTTGTGGAATATAACCCACCTCCTGAGGGAAAAAAACTGCGCTCTGATGGATGGCTGGGATCCACCCAACAGCACGAGTGGCCAACCCACCCTGCCCCTTCCTCTTCCTCGGCTCACAGCCCATAGTTGCCTGAAGTCCACAGGGAAAGCTGGTGTCACTTGATCCAGTGAAGGCCCCCCAAATAGGTAAGAGAACTCAAAAAGCGCAAAGCGAGTAGAGTTCGCAAGCCGTGTAAAGGGCAAATCAGCTATTTCGCACCGTCCGTTCGGACGACACTTTCCCTAAAAGTCAGTCTGTGCAAATCAGACTGAAAGAAAAAAAAAGAAACGATAAGACAGAAAACATGACTGGAAGAGCACGCTGAAAGACATCTATTCATGCTTCATCAAAGTCTAGCACGATAGAAAGCAAACAACCGAAAAAAAAAAAAAGAAAAAAAAAAAGAAAAAAAAAAAGAAAAAAAAAAGAAATTATTATCCTAAGCGATGTTATGCTACAACAATGGGTCGGAAAAATACATCGACGGTAAACTTGATGACAGCCATTGAGAAATGACAACATCAATTCCCGCCCTCCGCCGATTGGTTGGATCCACCACAAGGGGACGATAGGCAGACCGACGCGCCCGCGAGCAACACGCGCAAACGCGCTCTCCTGCCCCGATCCAGGTCAACGGTAAAAGTAAAAAGACAAAAAGCCTGAGAGGCGCAAATAACGCTCTGCCAAAGAGAAAATGATGACGACACACGGCTGCACGTAGAAACAAACTGTATTATTTCTTCTCTGTCCGCCTCTGCATCCGTCGCTCTCTCTCTCTCTCTCTCTCTCTCTCTCTCTCTCTC